AATTAATTTAATTCACAATAGCAAATTCTACTTATTTGTAGAAAACTAATTGACAAGTAACTTTTCCAGATCATATTTATGGCTTAGACATTTAACAACATAATTTCCTACAGATTTCTATCAATAAGCATGAATTTTCTTTTAATAGATAAGAATAGATCCAATAGCATCAGTGATGTGTCCAAGACAGAGCCATATGCATAATCTGAGTAAAGTGAAATGAAAATGTTCCCTCCCTGCCTTCCCCTCTAATTGGTTGTATTTTTGATAGGCTGAAAACTGATAATTTTTTATTCCTCTAAATACATTGGCAAAGCAATTTTTTATTCCTCTAAATACATTGGCAAGGCTTAAAATCATGATAATATGAGAGATCACATATAGCATTCTGGATATAATAAGAGATACAATAAGAGTGAAAGGAAAAGCTCTTTTCAATATCCAAGGAAGCTAGAGATGGAGTAGATAATTTAATGGGCTCAAAAATCTATAATTCTAATATAACATGTGTGAGGCAAATTTGCACTACATTTGACATATTCGTGTTCAGCTGTCAATACATAAAATCTTTTCAACAAATTAACTGATAAGTGGTTTCCAGTTTGACTCTTGAAAAACAATAAAACAAAAGTCTTTGTTAAAAGGTAGTTGAAAGTCAAAATTCCCTTAAATAAACAAATAGTCAAGTATGGCAGAACAATAAAAAAAGACATAATACTTTTTAACTTTTTCTGATAATAAAAGGCTATTCACATGCTTTACAGAAGATCTGGAAAGTTGATAAAGAAAAAAATCAATTAAAAAAAAAAAAACTTTTCCCAGAATTCTACCATTCAGAGATAACCATTCTTAACATTTCATATTATTTCTTTCCAGGATAATCTTTGGTACACCAAATTCTATACAGAAAAATTGTATAGCGACTTATGGTAAATAAAATGGTAAGCCTTCATTTGTTCATTCATCCACCCATTTTTTCTTTCTTTCTTTCTTTTTTTTTAAATTTTTTTTTTGAGATGGAGTCTCACTCTGTCTCCCAGGGTGGAGTACAGTGGCACAATCTCCACTCACTGCAACCTCCGCCTCCCAGGTTCAAGCAATCCTCCAGCCTCAGCCTCCCAAGTAGCTGGGATTACAGGTGTGTGCACCATGCCCGGCTAATTTTTGTATTTTTTGTAGAGACAGGGTTTCACCATGTTGATCAGGATGGTCTCAAACTCCTGACCTCAAGTGATCTGCCTGTCTTGGCCTCCCAAAGTGTGCAGTGGTGCAATCTCAGTTCACTGCAACCTCCACCTTTTGGGTTCAAGCAATTCTCCTGCCTCAGCCTCCTGAATAGCTAAGACTACCAGCACACACCACCATGCCCGGCTAATTTTTGTATTTTTAGTGGAGACGGGTTTTCATCATGTTAGCCAGGCTGGTTTCAAACTCCTGATCTCAAGTGATCTGGCTACCTTGGCCTCCCAAAGTGCTGGAATTACAGGCACTAGCCACCGCACCCAGCCTCCACCCATTAATTCTTTCACCAGATGTGCTGTAATAGGCCATTCATCCTCTTATTCAGAAGGTTCACTACCAGTCTTAGTGGATGCCATAAAAGTTAAGAAGACATGGACTTAGACCGGGCAACGGTGGTTCACGCCTGTAATCCCAGCACTTTGGCAGGCTGAGGTGGCAGATCAAGAGGTCTGGAGCTCGAGACCAGCCTGACCAATATAATGAAACCCCGTCTCTACTAAAAATACAAAAATTAGCCAATCGTGGTGGCATGCGCCTGTAGTCCCAGCTACTTGGGAGGCTGAGGCAGAAGAATCGCTTGAACCCGGGAAGTGGAGGTTGCAGTGAGCCGAGATCGTGCCACTGTACTCCAGCCTGGGCAACAGAGTGAGATTGTGTCTCAAAAAATAATAATAATAATAATAATAATAAAGAAAACATGGACTTTACACTCTAGTAGAAATGTATTAGAATTCCTTTGGACACACTTTTACAAAGACCAACTCAAATGTATTGGCTTGCCTAACTGGGAAATCCAAGTGGAGCAAACTAATAACTTTACATAAAGACTCCACTTCTCTCTCTTCTCAGTTCTGCTGCCCCGTCTCTCACTTTCTATCTTCAGATAAGTTCTCTCCATGTGGTGGTAAAATGGCTTCTGCCAGTTCCAGACTTACATGGTCTTTAGAGTATATAAACCAAGAGAAAGGAAGACCTTCTCCCTCCCAGGGTTCACAAGTCAAGACTGAGAAACCCTGCTGGATCCTACTTGGGTGAACAGTTAATGGGGCGACCAGGATGGGGTTCCATAACTAGTAGAACCTGGTCATAGCCATGTTGGCTATTAACATTAACACTAGAATCACATGGGGTCAGGCAAGGGCATTTCTCCAAGAAATAGAAGAATGCTGGTCAGACAAAGCAAATAGTTTGTCGAGAACTAGGTTATTTTTAGACAGATCATTTAGATTAATACACTGATTCCAAATTACTCTTTTTTTTTTTTTTATGAACAGAAGGTAAGGCCAGATGCTGTGGCTCACTCCTATAGTCCCAACATTTTGGGAGGCCAAGGTAGGCAGATCACCCGATGTCAGGAGTTCGAAACCAGCCTGGCCAACATGGTAAAACCCTGTCTCTACTAAAAATACAAAAATTAGCCAGGCATGGTGGTGCATGCCTGTAGTCCCAGCTACTGGGGAGGTAGAGGCAGGAGAATTACTTGAACCTGGGAGGTTGAGGTTGCAGTGAGCCAAGATCACACCACTGCACTCCAGCCTGGGTGACAGAGTGAGATTCCAAAAAAAAAAAAAAAAAAAAAAAAAAAAAAAAAAAAAAAAAAAAAAACCAGAATGTATTACATTATCTGAACCTCTTCTTAAACTTCCAAACCTATTTTTTATGAAACAAATTTTCCTTTGGCATTCAAAACTTTCTTATAAGCACAATGTTGTAAAGTAGATATGTTTTACGATGGTATGTAGATTAAGTAGAGGTGGGTCATACATCTTTGGATTAACTCGAAAATAAAATGGCAAAAGCAGGAGTGTTAAAATTACAATATAAAAGTGAAAGTAGAAAAAGAACAGTGGAAATTCAACAAAAGTGGAAGGAAAGCAAAGTAATCAAGCAGTTAGCTCAGAAAAGCAATCTGTCATGCTGAGTTTGGGCAGTTTCATGGGAACCTTTGCCAAACCAACAAGGAAAGAGGAAACTAACATCTGAATAGCTATCATGTCCAAAATGTTTCATTAGATGCTTTCATTCAGACCACTTAACACAAAATAATTATCTCCAACCTGAAGATACAGAACCCCAAAATCAGAAAGCTGATTTAGCTCACTCCAAGTCCATTTGAGCTGAAGTTTATCTGAAGTCAAAGTCCATTCTCTCTCCACTACCAAGCTGCCTTGCAGGAAATAACAGACTATTTCGATAAAGTTCTATTTCATCACTGAAGGGAAAATTTATCAAACTGCCACTGAAAGAACCCAAGGATTTAAATGAAGAATTTATCAACCAGGAGTTTTGGTGTGAAACTGCACTATAAAAATGAACTTACGTTGTTAAAGAACTTAAGTGGTTCGTACCCTGTAATCTTGACGGTTCTGAAAATTAATCATTTCTGTCTACTTTCCTCCTTCTTCACAATTTTTATCTCCAGACCATGTGGAGCTTGCATCCCATCTCATTTTTGCATGTTACTCTTTCTGATTGAAACACTTTTCCTCTCCTTCAGATGGCATCAAGGTTGCTGCTGCTTAACATCAAAGATTTATTTTACTCAAATGTCACCTCTACAAAGTCACCTGTTCCTGCAACTACCCCTATTAAGATAACATTCCTATTCTCAGATATCACTTACCACTGTATGAAGTTGTTCTATTTGGTTTAGGGTTTTTTTTATCTCTTCCAAAAAGAATGTAAATTCCTTGACAGAAAGAATCTTGTCTACCCTGTTTCTCCAGCACTTAAATTATTCTTGGACACAGTAGGCCCTCTTCAAGTATTTATTGAGTCCATGGATTGCAAGTGGTACAAAGTGAGACTAAAATGTATCACTGGTTAAAAAAAAAAAATAGTGTGAGAAGCTACCAAAGAAGCCTAAGAGCCTGTGTAGGAGTTACAGTGCCTACCACCCTCTAAAGCAAAAGGAAACAAAATAATAATATGCAAACACTTAAATAGTGCTTACTCCATGCCAGGCACTGTTCTAAGCATTATATGTATATATATAAACTCATTTTTATCCCTCATAATACATAGGTTTCTCATTCGCATTCCCCACGCTTTTTTGTTGTTGTTCTTTTTGCAGGTGAGTAATGTGAAGCACATAGGTCAACTTGCCCAGGGTTATAGTAGTTAACAATAGACTTACAAGTTGAACCCTGGCAGTGAACACTTTTTAAAACTATTATTTGATACTGCCTTTCCAAAAAAGCTGAGTGGTTGGCAGCATGGCCCCGCTAAGGTTTCTCTGTGAACGTAAAAATAAGTCTACGTTTATTATAAATAAGCGAATAATAAACGTATACTTAGTTTCGTCCACAGTAGCAGCAACGCCTTTAGTTATTACGTGCCAGCGTTCTCTATTCTTGTCAGCTTTTCAGATCCCACACGATTTTGGCCGCAGTAACATCCCATTTCACCATGTCAAGTTTCTCCCCCATCCCGTACGCCCCCTCACGCCAGTGTTTGTTCATTTAATCTGCTCCGAACCCTGCATCTGCGGCTTTCTAGGGGCCAATGTTAACTCATCTGTGAAACAGCAATAGTATCTGACTAGTCTCCACCCCGAGAGAGGACTGAGGGAACGGTGGAGTGTGAGAGCGGTCTACTGATATTAATTTCTGTCACTCTGATGGTTATTGCAAGTATCCTTTTCTCCTCTGCACTTTATGAGAAAAGAAACTTCACGTTCCGAAACAGCCACCATAAGCCACATTGGCTTACCCTGTTAGAGTCTGCGCAGTAGCGAAGGCTAGAGCGCTTGCTTTCTCATTTTCCGCCGCCGCGCTTCGATGACGTAAATTTCCTGCGCCGCGGGAGCAGCAGCGGCGCTTCGGGAGTCAGGTTCCGTTTTCCCCGCGGATTTTGGTGCCGGTGGGGTCCGCGACCCAACACCATGAAGGAAACGCCACTTTCAAACTGCGAGCGCCGCTTCCTGCTCCGGGCCATCGAAGAGAAGAAGGTATGGTTTGGTCCCTGCAGAATAGCGCGCTGCTTGGGCGCCAAGGTGTGAACTCATAACCTGGCCCGCCTGGGCCGGGGGAGCAACTAGGGGAGCGACCGGCGCGTGCACCCCAACCCTCAGGCTTTATTATAATTTTTTGGTCGGGTTCTTCTCAAGGTTCCAGTCACCCCAGCAGTTGTCTATGCTGTAGTTTCCGCTTTCCTATATGGGCGGGGTGGTTAGGATTCCACTTTGCTCCAAGTGCTTAGCCCAGGGCCAGAAAAAGTAATTGCTTAAGAAATATTTGTTGAAGGAATAAATGAATGAACTTGTGCTTACAGCGGCTGGATGGCAGACAAACCTATGATTATAGGAACATCAGGATCTCATTTGGAACTGATTATGGATGCTGCATTGTGGAACTGGGAAAAACAAGGTAACAGGATTTACATAAGATACACATTCAAAAGGGAGAAGTTTGAAAAAAGACCTATTGACTCGGTTGTTTATAAACCAGCTAAGAAGTCTGGACGGTATTCTTTGTTTAGCAGACAAAAATAAGTATTTTTTTATGCAAGATTTTTTGGTTTTGTGGTCACTATTGAAATTTTTTTTGTTTTGTTTTGTTTTGTTTTGTTTTGTTTTTTTGAGATGGAGTTTCGCTCTTGTTACCCAGGCTGGAGTGCAATGGCGCGATCTCGGCTCACCGCAACCTCCGACTCCTGGGTTCAGGCAATTCTCCTGCCTCAGCCTCCTGAGTAGCTCGGATTACAGGCACGTGCCACCATGCCCAGCTAATTTTTTGTATTTTTAGTAGAGACGGGGTTTCACCATGGTGACCAGGATGGTCTCGATCTCTTGACCTCGTGATCCGCCCGCCTCGGCCTCCCAAAGTGCTGGGATTACAGGGAAATTTTTAATCATAAACATATTTTCTGCCACGGATCACATAGTTCCTTCTGACTTCTATAAATCGTGTAGACAACCGGTAGTGATCACACTGAATTTGTTTCTCATACTAGTATAGAGACCTTGAGCGTCTTTTCATTAACTATACATCCTGCTTTCCTCTTTTTCCTGGGTGACATGAAAATTAGGTTTTCTGATATTCACTTTAAAGTTGTGAGACTATTTGGTCAGTTAATAGTGGTGAACCATATCATGTGAAAACCCTTAAGAAATCTCAAGTTTTCATGCCATCTTGTATCAATAAATACTTGCTTTAGAGGTAAAGGCCATTGATTTTTAAAACAATCTGTGGAATAGTAAACATTGTAATAAGATTTTTTTCTGTTGTGTTTTTAGGTGTACCAATTTATGTTTTATTTCTGTGTATGTTATACTTTTATATATAATTTTATCTCCTATGATATATTTGGCTGAGTATGATATTACTCAGAGTAAGATTGAAACTCATTATCTGTTTCAGATTTTTTTTTGGGGGGGGAGGGAAGGAAGATCTATTTAGTTAATATTTTGTACCTTTATCTTTTCAGAGTTCTTGGACAGGTTTCCTGTGAACTTGTGGCTCCAAAACTCAATAGGGCAACAGAAGGTATTCTTTTTTTTAACCTTGAACTCTCTCAGATGGCTGCTCCAGCTTTTGAACCTGGCAGGTACTTAAATCTTTTTCTTAAGCTACTTTAGTCATAGGAGAACCTTACAGCAGTGAGGTTTTTTTTTTGTTTGTTTGTTTCTTTAATACCTGGTGTTGTATTTCATGACATTAGCCCATTCCTATTTTCCTGTTATAGGCAGTCAGATCTCTTGGTGAAGTTGAATCGACTCTTGGAAAGATGTCTAAGAAATTCTAAGTGTATCGACACTGAATCTCTCTGTGTTGTTGCTGGCGAAAAGGTGACGAATATGCCCAAAGTTCTTTTTTTTTTTTTTTTTAAACCCCAAACCACATGGAATGGAGAATATGCCCCAATTCTTAATCTTAGGATGAATATTATTGATTCATGGATCCCAGTATCTGTGCTTTTATTCTCAGAACTTTTGTTAACTCAGTTTTGTACTGGTTCACTTTACTTCAGAGGTGAAGTAAACTTTGTGCCATCTCTCTCTCTCTGAAGGGACAAAAATCATTATATTTAAAGGGTGAAAATATTAACTTAGATTTGTGTGTAAAATATTTTATTTAAAGAACTTGTGGCTTTTTTATATAATCTCTCATTTATTTTCTTATGTTACCTACATGAGTTCATAGAAGCAGGTAGTTTTCTTCTTTCATGCAGAACTCAAGAACAGATGAAATCCTTCATTTTGATAGGTTTATTGATTTACACAGGGCCACACCATGTCAGTAGCAGGGATAACTTTGGAAATCTTAGTCCCAGTAAATTGTACTGCATTAGGATATTAGAATTTTATTATTATTATTATTATTATTATTATTACTATTTTGAGACAGAGTCTCCCTCTTTTGCCTAGGCTGGACTGCAGTGGTGCAATCTCAGCTCACTGCAACTTCTGCCTCCCCTGTTCAAGCCCTCTGAGCGGCTGGAACTATAGGCACCTGCCTCCATGTTCCGCTAATTTTCATATTTTTAGTGGAGACAGGGTTTCACCATGTTGATCAGGCTGATCTTGAACTCCAGACCTCAAGTGATCCACCTACCTCAGCCTCCCAAAGTGCTGGGATTACAGGGTGAGCCACTGTGCCTGGCCAGAATTTGATTCTTGATTAAGATATTTTGACAGGCTTTTTACTCCACAGAAATCATTTAGCTTTCCATATTCCATACCTAAGTATAATATACTTCCTATTTGCATTACTTGTAAGCTTATTAAAAATATCATAAAACCTAAAAGTTTATTTATTATTTACTCTTAGGGATAGGGTGACACTCTTGTCCAGGGAGGAGTGCAGTGGTGTCATCATAGCTCAGTGTAACCCTGAACTCCTGGGCTCAAGGGATCCTCTTGCCTTAGCCTCCCAAATAGCTAGGACTACAGGTGCATGCCATTCCACCTGGCTAATTAAAAACCATTTATTTCTTTTTGTAGAAATAAGGTCTTGCTGAGTTGCCCAGGCAGGTCTCGAACTCCTAGGCTTAAGCAATTCTCCCATCTTGGCCTCCTAAAGTGCTGGGATTATAGGTGTAAGCCACTGTGCCTGGCCTAGGGTTTGTGGTTTTTAAGTTAACAAACGTGATAAAAGTATCATTAGATTTGAGGTTAGGAAAATCTTAGTATTAAATGTTAGAGTGGTTCTGTTTATTTAAAGTATGTGTTTTACTGTTGTTAAATGACTCACACAGTATTTCAGATGTTTGGCTTAAAATTTCTAAAATGTATTTTTTGTTGACAAACTAGAAGGAGTAACTGCCTGTTTTAACAGCAAGAAAAAATTTGTACACGATGTTACTTTTCCTAATAAATAGCCACTGATTGTAATCAGGATTTATTTTTTTAAAATTCACTTTTCAGGTTTGGCAAATACGTGTAGACCTACATTTATTAAACCATGATGGAAATATTATTGATGCTGCCAGCATTGCTGCAATCGTGGCCTTATGTCACTTCCGAAGACCTGATGTCTCTGTCCAAGGAGATGAAGTAACACTGGTAAGCTCTTATGTGACCAGGATCCTTGATATGAATGAATGAGGAGTGTCCTAAATGTGCAGGCAACTTGCTTTTAGTGAAGTTATGTTGCAGATGGCAACTTGGTTGGTTCTAAAATTTGTTCATAAGGCTAAAACTGCACGTGGTCAAAATTGTCCTTGAAATCTCTTACATTTCCTCTACTGAAACATCTGTCAGTAAGCACATACCCTAGCCTGGTTTTCCAGAATAGAATTGATGACTCTTTTGGATTGAGCATTAGATGAAGTGGTTGACTTATGTTTAGGGGCCATATGTGTGAAAAGTACATGACTCTTAGCACAGTGAGTTGCTTACCCTCCAAGAGGCATGCAGTAGCTGAAAAGGACTGAGGAATCAGCAGGTTTATATTTGTCTCCGGGACTTTTGTTCATTAAGCAAAGAGATGACAAAAGTCTATCAGAAATACGTGGAGGGCTTGTTAAAACATACTGCCAGACTCTACTCCTAAAGTAAAACAGGGCTAGGACTTAAGAATTTGTGCTTCTAACTTTAAATTCTTAGGTAATACTGATGTTGCTGGTCCAGGGAGCACATATTGAAAACCATTGACCTACGTTGTCTTTATCTTTTATGCTGAGTATGTCAGTTTTGATTTATATAAATTACATGCTAGAGGCCGGGCGCGGTTGGCTCATGCTTGTAATCCTAGCACTTTGGGAGGCCGAGGCAGGCTGATTGCCTTAGCTCAGGAGTTTGAGACCAGCTTGGGCAACATGGTGAAACCCCGTCTCTACTAAAATACAAAAAAAATTAGCTACGTGTGGCAGCGTGCACCTGTAGTCCCAGCTACATGAGAGGCTGAGGCAGGAGAATTGCTTGAACCCTGGAGGCAGAGGTTGGCAGTGAGCCGAGATCACATCACTGCACTCCAGCCTGGGGGACAGAGCAAGACTCCATCTCTTAAAAAAAAAAAAATTACATGCTAGAATAATGAAAGTACACAAGTGCACTGTAGTTATAGTTTGAGTCCTGAACTTGCAAAAGAAAACATCAGATGCCCAAACTTTTTAAGCAGTGATTCGTAATTTTGTTTTTGGGCAGTAGACTGGAGCAGAACCATTAAAAACTGGGAAGTAGGGACAAAGGTTTATTAATAGTAGTGGTAATATTCTTTTAGAGGAGGGAGTTTATATAAGGAAGTAAAAAAAAAAAGGAGAGCGCGATTACTGGACTTGAAAAATCAATTAAAGAATACTCTGGTGTTTTTGCTAGTGGGAATGTAAAACCGTACAGCCATGTTGGAAAAATTGGCTGTTTTCTTAAGTTTTAAGTGTAGACAACATTCTATATGCAGAAAAATAACAATAGAAGAAGAAAATACTCCTTTTTTTTTTTTTTTTTTTTTTTTTTTTTTTTTCCTGAGACAGAGTCTCACTCTTATCCAGGCTAGGGTGCAATAATGTGATCATAGCTCACTGTAACCTTTGCCTGTTAGACTTAAGCAGTCTTCTTGCCTCAGTCTCCTGAGTAGCAGGGTCTACAGGCATGTGCCACCCACCTGGCTAATTTTTGTATTTTTTGTAGAGATACAGTTTCACCAAATTGCCCAGGCTGGTCTTAAACTCCTGGGTTCAAGGGATTCTCCCACCTTGGCCTCTCAAAGTGTTGGGAATTTCAAGCGTGAGCCACCATGCCCAGCTAGAAATACACTTTCTTATATGTACATCTTTCAGCAGATTTGACCTAATAATAATAAATTGCAATGACTTAAAATTAGGGGAAAAAATATTCCAGTAATTTCATTCCTAAAAATCTACAGGAGGAATAAGAGCTTATTATGTTCATTCAAGGACTTGAATGCAAATGTTTATAGCATCATTTATTAGCCAGAAACTAGAAACAATCCAAATGTCCAGCTGGTGAATAGTTAAAATGTGCTATATACCAATAATGGAATACTGTTCAGTGATGAAAAGAACTGAACTACTGATAAGTGCTCCAAGGTGCATGAAACATGCTAAGTTGAAAGAAGCCAGGCGTAAAACATTACAATTTTTTTCCTCATTTATATAGAATGGTCAGAAAGATTTATAGAGACAGAAAGAAGATAAATCAGTGGTCGTTTGGGCCTAGGGTGGAAGTACACCAAACTCCTATGGACTACAGACAGATTCAGAGGAATTTTGGGGGGTAATGGAAATGTTAAAAAAACTAGATTGTGGCTATGGGTCTGTAAATGTATCCATAACTATGCATTTACTAAAAATTGAATCATATACTTAAAATGAGTGAATTTTATCGGATGTAAATTATACGTCAGTATATTTTTGAAAAAGCTTTTTGAAAAAGTTGCACAGTTTGAGGAACATGAGTGGCAAAATCAAACAGGTAATTATTAATATAAAAAGTTATTTGGGTACTCAAAGGATTAAAGGAACTTCATTTTTTATTTTAGTATTTAATGTGCAAGGTGATTTTTTTTTTTGCATGTTCATAAATTAGTGACTATAATTATTAAACATTTTCTTTTGAAACAGTATACACCTGAAGAGCGTGATCCTGTACCATTAAGTATCCACCACATGCCCATTTGTGTCAGTTTTGCCTTTTTCCAGCAAGGGTAAGCCTCACCTTGTCATGGGCCAAAATTACAAATGCAGCTAGGAATTTTATTGCTCTACTCAAATGTCATGTTAATATTAATATTCTTTCTTTGTAAGGGCATTAGTTGGCAAAGAGCTTTCTCAATAGAAGTCACAAAACTCTTATACCATGATGAAGATACTTCCTAACATTTTCTTTTCATGGCATACTTAAAAACTTAGGCATTTACTATGGTATGATAGTGTCTTATGTTTCCTAAGGATGTGCAGGGGTTAAGAGAATTATATGCTAGGCTCTAATTTGGGAAAGTGGGGTAAGAATTACTCTGAGTTACTGGAAGATAGGGGCCTTTGGAGCATATTAAATAGAGTAGTTCTAGAAGTGAGTTACAAGGGGGGATGATTCACAAACTGGCAGAAAAAACTCTAGTGTTCTTCAGTTTTCTAGCGGTTTCTTTACTTGCTGCTAAATCCTCCTGTAGCAGAACACTTGGAGTTGTTCAGGTCCATTTAATCTTGCTTTCAAATGAAAACTTGAGCCTTAAATTTCTTTAGAAACAGTGAGATAAAAATAAGATGTTTCACACAGTGTTGTGCATAAGGACTAGAGAAAAACTTTCAAGTTTTAGTCATTGTAGTGTAGAGTTACATCAGAGGAAAATGGGCCAGGATTGTCCAGTAGAAATAAAATGTGAACCATATATGTAATTTTTCTTTTTTTTTGAGATCAAGGTCTGGCTGTGTCACCCAGGCTGGAGCACAGCAGCATGATTTTTGCTCACTGCAGCCTCTGCTTTCTGGGCCCAAGCAATTCTTCAGCCTCAGCCTTTGAAATAGTTGGGACTACAGGCGTGCACCACCATGCCCAGCTAATTTTTGTATTTTTTGGAAAAAAAAAAAAAGTTTTGCCACATTGCCCAAACTGGTCTGGAACTCCTGAGCTCAAAAGTTATCTGGCTCAAAAGTTATCAGCCTCCCAAAGTGCTGGGATTACAGGGATGAGCCACCGTGCCTAGCTGTTTAAGACAAAGTCTCCCTCTGTCACCCCAGCTGAGTCTAGTGACACAATCATGGCTCATTGCAGCTTCAACCTCCCAGACTCAAGTGATTCCCCTGCCTCAGCCTCCTGAGTAGCTGGGACCACAGCTGCACACCATGCACCTCTAATTTCTTTATTTTCTCTAGAGATGTGATCTCACTATATTGCCCAGGATGATCTCAAACTTCTGGGTTCAAATGATCCGCCCATCTCCACCTTCCAAAGTACTAGGATTATAGGCTTGAGCCACCATGCCCATGCCCAGCCTTTGTTACTTTTTAAACAGTTTTTTATTTTTTTGTGACGAGGTTTCACTCTCACCTATGCTGGAGTGCAGTGGTCTAATCAAAGCTCACTGCAGCCTCCAACTTCTAAGCTCAAGTGATTCTCCCACCTCAGCCTTCCAGGTAGCTGGGACTACAGATGTGTGCCATACCTGGCTAATCAAAAAAAATTTTTTTTTTATAGAGACAGGGTCTCACTTTGTTTCCCAGGCTGGTCTTGAACTCCTGGGCTCAAGTGATCCTGCAGTCTTGGCCTATCAAAGTGCTGGGATTACAAGTGTGAGCCACCATGCCTGGCCTCATATATGTAATTAAAAATTTTCCAGTAGTCACATTAAAAAGTTTATGTTTATTTATTTTAATTAATATATACAAAATATTTTCATTTTAATGAAATAAATTAATAATCAGTATTTTAATAATTACTCATGAGACAGTCTACATTCTTATATTTCCACTAAGTCTCTGAAATCCAGTATTTTACATACTCAGTTTGGGCTGGTTACATTTCAGGGGCTCAGTAACCACAGATGACTATTGGCTAATATACTGGAAAGTGCAGAAATAGACTATTTTTTTTATGAGCCATTAGCAGAACACAGTAGAACTTTGGAGTACAGAACATTAGGGCAACTTTAAGCAAATTAATATTATCTTAGTTCTTATTAATAAGCCAGAAGTCATTTAATCAAAGAAATAGCATTAGGTTTAGATTAAATATGATTTGAGTAAATCCAATCTGAACTTAATGTGATTTCATTGTAATAACAAGAAATATCCACTTAGCATTCATTTGTGTTCATAAACAGAATAATTTTCTTGTCTCTTTCCCCATTTCAGTGACCCAAATCCATAGGCTCAGACCTTTATTCTCTGTTGACTTTATTGATGCCATCTTTTAAAAAATTCATTACCCAAGAAATGGTAAGCATTTGATCTCAGATTTGTTCAGGTCCATTTAACATTCATTTCAGAACATATTTATTGGTGGATCCCAATGAACGAGAAGAACGTGTGATGGATGGCTTGCTGGTGATTGCCATGAACAAACATCGAGAGATTTGTACTATCCAATCCAGTGGTGGGATAATGCTACTAAAAGATCAAGTTAGTGCTTTGATTAATGTCCCATTAAGAATAGGTTGCTTCTCTTTAGATGCTTTATCTTGTCTTTTAACAAAAATCCAATGTGAATACTTCCAATGATTAATTCTAGGATATGTTAGAATCTGGTTTCAGTATTATCACTATTAAATACATTGTATAGACTGGTAGCTTAAGGTATCCTCCTCTTTCCTCCCTTGCTGCTCCCATGTCTGTCCTGGTAGAGTGTGACCCTTCCAACTAGCAGGAGGGTCTAGGGAAGAATAAGATTTATATACCTATTAAAAAAAAAAAAAAAAAAAAAGGGCGAGCATGGTGGCTCACGCCTGTAATCTCAGCACTTTGGAAGGCCAAGGTGGGTGGATTGCTTGAGTTCAGAAGTTCAAGACCACCCTGAACAACAATGGTAAAACCCCATCTCTACTAAAAATGCAAAATTAGCTGGGTATGGTGGCTGGCAGATGCCTGTAATCCTAGCTACTTGGGATGCTGGGGCAGGAGAATCACTTGAACCCAGGAGGTGTAGGTTGCAGTGAGTCAAGATTGCACTATTACACTCCAATCTGGGCAAAAAGAGCGAAATTCTTTTTGAATAAAAAAAATTAGCCGAGCTTGATGGCGCATGTCTGTGATCCTGGCTGCCAGGGAAGCTGAGGTGGGAGGATTGCTTGAGCCCAAGAGGTGGAGGTTGAGTGAGCTGTGATCATGCCACTGCATTCCAGCCCAGGCTATGGAATGAGATCTGTCTCAAAAATAAACATTTTTTAAAAAATACATGCAGTAGTAGAAATTATGTAAAAAGACAGTTTTACTTTTAGAATTTGGGTAGTTCTCAAACCCAGCTACATATCAGATTCACATGGGAGCTTTTAGAAAATAGATCTCCATATAGTATATAGTATAGGTGATTAAAAGCTGCTTTAGTTTGAATTCTTGCTCTGCCCTCATACTAGCTGATCTTGGGCAAATGATTTTATATCTTTGAGTCTCAGTTTCTTATCTGTAAAATAGGGAATGATGGCCGGGCGCGGTGGCTCAAGCCTGTAATCCCAGCACGTTGGGAGGCCGAGGCGGGTGGATCACGAGGTCAAGAGATCAAGACCATCCTGGTCAACATGGTGAAACCCCGTCTCTACTAAAAATACAAAAAAAGTCGCTGGGCATGGTGGCTCGTGCCTGTAATCCCAGCTACTCAGGAGGCTAAGGCAGGAGAATTGCCTGAACCCAGGAGGCGGAGGTTGCGGTGAGCCAAGATCGCGCCATTGCACTCCAGCCTGGGTAACAAGAGCGAAACTCCCTCTCAAAAAAAAAAAAAAAAAAAAAAAATAGGGAATGATGTCATTGTCAACACTTTGTTGTTATAAGGATATAAAGATATTGCAGTGTCTAGCATATATTGTGTGCAATTAATGTTCGTTTTTGTTATCATCATCATTTCTTTACCAGCATCACAACTACTACCCAGATTCCTATTTCTATAGATTACCCAAAAAAAGTAAGTTAGTGCATCCCTGAGCATATATGTATCTGTGGCCTCTTCCATGGTTATCTTTTATATTGTTATGTAAGAAATTTTCATGTCTGTTCCCTTAATGTGATAGTCCTTTACATATCTTAAAACAACTTTCACATCTTGCCTTAATCTGTGTTTACACTGTGTTATTTTCATGTTTAGAAAAGTCAGGCTTAAATTATAAAGGTAGAAAATTTAATTTCATAGTTTTAGTTTCTTTAGAGAAAACCATTTGGTTTATTGTCTTTAAATACAGAATTCACTTTTATAAATAGGTTTTGAGATGCAGTAAAATTGCTGGTGTGAAAGTAGCAGAAATTACAGAGCTAATACAGAAAGCTTTGGAAAATGACCAAAAAGTTAGGTAAGTAACTTTTCCAGAACTACATGGTTCTTTTTAGTTTTAAAATTTTTATTTACTTTAGTGTTATCCTAAACTCGAAAAGGTAGTGAAACTCATAACGGATATTGCTACTCATCTTTGAACAGATACAATAAAAGTATTAATGAAACTGGTTCCCAGACAAGTATGTACCACTTGCTCCTGTGCCTTAGGGAGGAGAGGGTTTTTTAACATAGGTATTATTGATTCAGTGACTTGTGGATAGTAGCTCCTTATTAACACAGCTGAAATTAGGTACATGTTTTTTACTTTGTGTGGGAGCTGGTGACTCTTGTCCTTTTGTTTTTTGAGAGGTATCTTTCAAGGTGTTGGCATCAAACCCACTTACTGCAAAATGCATCACAGATGGAAATTTAAGCCTGAGTTGAGTACAGAATTCCAAAACAAAGAGGAAGGACCCTTCTAAGAGCACAGAGGTCTTCATTGCTCCAGACTCCCAAGACACAACACAGGGAACAGGAAATGGCCCTAAATGGTCTTTTAATATATTTTTTTGTCTTAAGGATCTTCCTTGAAAAGGGGCAACCATATAAATTTCACACTTGATCTTTTCTTATTTGTTAATCTCAAGTATACTACTTAGTGTTTTTTGAAAGTTGATTGGACTTATTACATTTTCTGCAATTCAAATATAACCTATATTGAAAAGTCATGTAAGATTTTGTTTTTCTTTTGAGACAGAGTCTCACTCTTTTGCCTAGGCTATAGTGCAGTTGTGCAGTCTTGGCTCACTGATTCTCTTGCCTCAGCCTCCCGAATAGCTCAGACTACAGATGCATACCACCATGCCTGGCTAATTTTGTATTTTTAGTAGAGATGGGGTTTCACCATGTTGGCCAGGCTGGTCTCAAACTCCTGACCTCAGGTGATTCACCTGCCTGGGCCTCCCTCCCAAAGTACTAGGACGACAGGTGTGAGCCCCTGTGCCTGAAGACATAAAAGATTTTTCTTTAAAAGTTAACATTTTCTTAGGATAAAAAGAATCTAGTAACCCAAATTAATGGAAGGAAACAGATTGATTCCCATCCATCTCTACTTCTTATTGTGCTATCTTGAGCAAAATATATAACCCAGCATTTCAGTGTCCTCTTCTATAATATGGGATATTAACATTATCTGGTAGGGCTGATTTGATAGATAGAGAATAGAGTATTTTAACCTAGCACATGGTCTGGCACATGGTAACTATTTCCCTTGTTAGGCATAGCAAATTGGTGAGGTTAAGTTAGTCACATAAACTCTCTTCCGTATTTTTCACCAAACGACAAAATAATATTTTTTTTCCCTTCCTGTCTTCTATCCAATCTCCTCCTTCCTTCCCACTAAACCCCCCACAACCCCCAACACAGGAAAGAAGGTGGAAAGTTTGGTTTTGCAGAGTCTATAGCAAATCAAAGAATCACAGCATTTAAAATGGAAAAGGCCTCTATTGACACTTCGGATGTAGAAGAAAAAGCAGAAGAAATCATTGCTGAAGCAGAACCTCCTTCAGAAGTGTATCTTTATTTGGTGGTTTTTGCAGTAACAAGATTCATAACACTTGGCATTATATTAGGCTATATGAAGGGTGTGCATACTGAAATTTCTGTAAACACTGTATACTTTGTTAGAAGAACACTTAAAATACAAGATAGTGATGTTAGTAATATTATGTTGATGGTATAACATTCAGCTTTTTTTCAGGTATCCTGCAAAAACCAGATTTTAAGGACCAATTTTAATTTAGTATTGTAACTAAAATGTTGAGAACCTCTCTTCACATTTCTTCCTATTAACTGCATCCATAAAATCTTGCCTGAGTTATTTTTTCTTCTTCATTGTTCAGCCATCCATAGTGTAGGCTCTAAGTTTCTTTCCCCCTAGGAACTTGAGGCACACTTGAATCAGTCTTACAGGAAGAAAACTGTCATTGCCATCTTTTTCAACAGTCCGTCAAATAGCAGTTTTGTTACTCGGTTTTCTTAACTTGTTAAGTGTTTCTAAACCTGTGCTGTGGACTCCTGGAACTGCCCAAATTGGAGAAGGAGTAGAAAACTCCTGGGGTGATCTTGAAGACTCTGAGAAGGAAGATGACGATGAAGGTGGCAGTGATGAAGCTATCATTCTTGATAGTATAAAGATGGACACTGGAATAGAAGTCTCTGATATTGGAAGCCAAGGTAGGTGACACTATGGTACACTTATTACTATTTATTATAGTTTATATAGAGAGTATTACCATATATAGTTACATATAATGCACAAAATAAGTATGTATCACTATATATAGTAATAGCATATTAACTATATATAGAGATGTATACTAGATATATAACATATAGGATACTATATGGAGAATAGTTATATATAGGGATATAAGTATTGCTTTTATAGAGGGGCTAAATATTGTGATTTAAATTTCAACTAAATTGTGGCTAACTGCAATTCTAATGATACTAGTAGTGGTACACTTTGGCATAAAATGATAGTGACATTTTTAATTAAAACAAATTTTGCTTATGTATTTGGGTCAATTTTAAGGGAATGAGTTTAAGATCTTATTCTTGCGTGCTGCCTTTTTTTTTTTTTTGTAGTTTCTACACTGAAACAAAAAGCCCATCCCATATTATAACATAATACTGTCTAAATAAAACTTTCTGTGATGATAGAAACATTAAGCATCTATGCTGGTATAGCAGCCACTAGCCCCATGTGGCTATTGAACGCTTGAAATGTGGCTGGTGCTACTGAGAACTGAATTTTAAATTTTAGTTAATATAAAATTAAGCAGCCAATGGCTACCATACCAGACATTGCAGTATTAGAACAGAAATTGTACAGGTGACTAGAATACTGGTAGTCCTAGATGTTTCATGCATTCTGAAAGCTATAGAACTGAAGAACTTGTTTTTATGTATGGTTATATTTGCTTGTAAAAAAAAGCAAATTCTTGTCAGTGTATGTGGTAAGAACAGAAATCCTATAAGGAACTGCAAACTAGGCTGGCAGGGAAAACTGAAGGCAATATGCTTAGTAGGAATGTAATGCAAATACTTATATTCTCAAGGATATAAATTATTGCTTATGAACATTACTAGAGCCTAAGCTTTTTGTTTAATTATTCAAGTAAATAGGTAAGGAAAGAAATTCCCATTGATTGAGACCCTTATTCAACTTTCCCAGTGGTTACTTCTGTTTGGTATTATTCTTCCAGAACTTGTTCCAGGTGTTTATTTACTCTCTGTGCAGTGATGTAAGCTAATGCTGCATAGACTTGTATAGCACTGAATATAACAATTCCCTTGTTGTTGAAGATGTAAGTAAGTTGTTTCCATTTTTTCACTGTTATATTTTCAACTGAAAATAATGAAGGTGGACCTATGAACAGGAGAAACCAATTGAATACTAAAAATACAAAGAATTGATGTGGGTTAATTCACATTTTATATATATCATTACAATGATCAGGAGAAAAATGGGCAAAAGATGTGGAGCAGTTCTCAAAGAAAATACAAATGGCCAGTAATATTTTTCATGGTCAGTTTTGGCAAAAATTTTTTAAAAGGACATGGCATTTTTTGTTACTATATTTTGGGCAGTGTTAAAAAATACCAGCAATGCCAAAGGTATGTGGGAAATGGGTTCTTCTTTTATCTCTTGGAGTGTCAATTGGAACTATTTCTGGAGGAATAAAGTAGGGCAAACAAACAATTCAGTTGGCTCCACAAAAGATGATATATAGATTTCCCCCTAGCTTTCCTATGATGACATACTAAATTGTCACGCCATTTAAGAACCTATAGGAAATAAGTTTAAAGGAACAAGTGTTACAGATGAGTTCGAGAGCCCTAAGAAGCTGATTTAAAGAGAAAAGAAAGCCTCCACCTGAAGAGTAGCATGGGCTGGCTTTCTATTAGAGGCAAACAAGTTACTCCTGACCTCAGGTGGTCCACCTGCCTCAGCCTCCCAAAGTGCTGGGATTACAAGTGTGAGCCACCATGCCCAGCCCTGGAAATAAGTTTTAGAACATCTGATAGAAAGAAACTCATGTGGAAAGAAATTTTCCAAGATTAACTTTTTTTTTTTTTTTTTTAAAAAAAACAAAGATGCTCCCATAATACTCTCAGATAGTGAAGAAGAAGAAATGATCATTTTAGAACCAGACAAGAATCCAAAGAAAATAAGGTAACAAATTTCTGGTTTATTTCAAATGAATACATATACTGAACACTTCTAGAGGTTTGCTCTCTGGTTTTACTCTCATCTTGCCACACGACTATAAACAAAAAGACTTCCCTTTTTCATTAGATATCCATCTGTTCTGTGATTTACCTTGTGACTTATAAAAATTAGGATCTAATTCTGAAAAACTCTTTGGATACCAGTTTTACTCATAGCTGACACATTTTATATACTATTGGAAAAATAAGAAATGCCTCTTATTTCAATAATCCAAAACTTAACAAGCATACTCTTAGTAAATTCTTACTTTATATTCACAGAACACAGACCACCGGTGTAAAACAGGAGAAAGCACCAAATAAAAAGCCAGTGAAAAGAAGAAAAAAGAAGAGAGCTGCCAATTAAAGCTAACAGTTGTGTATTTGTATATAACTATTAAAAGGATATTTATTCCATTCTAACAATCCTGGGTATTTTTTTATTCACAAATCCACTGTAAAATCTAGCAGGATTTTTAAAATGGTTTTTTGTTTTTAATGGTATGCTTTGAAATAAACCTTCTGGAGCATTTCTTGTCTGTTAATTTGCACATAAGTTTCCCACCTCTCTCCTGCTCCCAACCTGTTGAGTTTACCCCACAAAACCTAATCAAGTTTTACAAAGAGCCAAGGTCTAGGGATCTCCACTCTACTGGTAAGTACAGATTTATTCCAGATATACTTAGATTATGCTCAAGTCAGCAAATTAATCCAGTTGCTTAGGAAAATGAATGTCAGAATTTGAGAGTTTGTTTTCCTAAAACTAATTTTAGAGGAAGGCTTTTCACTTTCCATTATAGTAAACCAAATTAACTTTTCTAAGCAAAATTCTGAAGAAGTTAAATTTGGCTTGCAAAGTTTTCCAATTTATTGTTATAATCCTGAGAGCTGGCATCATTAATACTTTAAGAAAACCACTTAAAATTAGCCAAATATCTAAGACAGATACATATACAAAAGATATACAAATTAAAACCATTTAAAAAGTAATGGATACCATAATTTGTACTTTGCCATAACTTCTGTATTCAGAAATGATTGTAAAAACCTAAGTTAAAAACTATACACCATATACTTTGAGTGATTTACATCTTAGAAAGCAAAGGCAGTCTTTCATTGTTACAGATTTAGTGTGTCTGGTGGGTTGAGGAGAGAAACACCATGATACCTATAAGTAGGGGGAAAAAAACATTTTTAGTAAACATTCACCGGGTAAAGAAGATCATGGAATAATATATGTGCTCATGTGTTGGGAACTAAAAAATGCTATTTCTATCTGACCGAGTTGATGGTTTTAGAAACATTGTCTAATCCCTGAAATACACATCCATGCCCCTTTTCCCTTCTCCCCCAGACCCAAGGCACAAAGCGTTAACTACAACCTTCGAACACAACCAGTTAAGAGAACAGATTCTCAAGGAGGTTACGGAAGATTCATGAATAAAGTTAGAATGTGAAAATAGTCTAGAAAAGAAGCTTCAATATCCAAGTTAATTCTTACTTTGAATGTTTGTACTTTTCTCTTATTGACTGTTGTGCATGCTGTGGTGCTTTGAGGTAGGTCTGATGAAGGTCCATGAGACAAGGCTTAAGACTTTCCAGGGTATATCCAGTCTTCTGTACTAATGATTCAGGCTACAAAGAAGGGAATAGAGAACCCCTGAGTTTTGCTTTTAGTAACGGACACCAAACAGAGTTAACAGTTGGCATTACGTCTATGTTATATTCCAGTACTAATCTTTAACTCTTCCAACTAGTTTTCTCAGGCCACTATTCCATCTCTGAATCCATTTGTTGCTGCTTTCCCTGCCAGCAACAGATCAGAGGCTTTTTAAAAAACTCACCTTTCAATCTAAGTTACAACTAGCTTTCCACCTAACAAACAGATGCTGTACAACAGGTAACATGCCTTAAACAGTATATAACCATCCCTCAGTATACAGGAGGGATTGCTTCTGGGACCCTCCCCGAATATACCCAAATCTGTACATACTCAAATCCTGTAGTCACCCTAACATATATATGGGTTTTGAATCCCCTGAATACTATATTCTCAATCCACATTTGACTGGAAAAAGGTTCGTGTAAGTGGACTCACACAGTTCAAACCTGTGTTTTTTCAAGGGTCAACTGTATATATTTGAAGTTTTTTCAGGTAAGAACATGTAGGCAACCCTCAGTTTTGTAGGACAATTATTTAATCTGGCACAGGCATCTGATTACAAGGTAGGTGTGTGAAGACTAATACATACCCAGCTTTGTCCCGTGACTGTATAGAGTGCTAAATGAAAGGCAGCTCCAGCAATAACTGATGGCAAATACTTCAGATATGGGTCAGCATCTATCAAACTTAATTCTCCCAAAAACTGGAATAAAAAATACTTTATGATCACAAGAGTGTCTAGAATTCAAATCTCAAATCCCTGCCTTCTAATTTTTTCCTACCTTTGATAAAGGCTCTGTAGCAACCCTAGAAAAAATATTTCACAGCCTCATCTTTAAAGAGATTCACCATTTTAGTGTTTTGCTTCATCCTCATCCTCCTTTATTAACTTTTAAAAAACAACTATTCTGACTACCCATTCCCAAGACTTCATCCTTATACCTCCTAGTGCTTTCCTGATGTAGATTATCTTTTGCCAGCAGCAGGCTTTCTTCCATACTGCAGTATCAATCTCCCTCTGAATACTAAATCTCTTCCCCACTACTGTCCAAAGGAACTAGGACCTGCCCCTAATTATTACCTAAGAATCGCCATTCAAAATGAAAGTTAACTCACCATTGCTAAACTTTCAACTTTGCAGTTTGCAGGCTGCTGATGCAGAAAGTATTGGGTAAGAAACTGATTTACTGTTGGAGCAGCTAAGTCAAAAGTAAGGACTTTCAAAACTAGATGCTCCATTCTCAGAACTTGTTTCTTGGTGTAGGTATCATCTGTAATGTACACAAACTCTGCTACTTCTGGGGGGTATATTTCTTCAAACTTTCTACAATGAAAAAAGTTTTAAGTAATCAGTCCTAAAAGAGAAGCAAGCTTCCTTATCCCAATTCTGAAATCCCATTAGCAGAATATATGGAATGAATCCAAAACCCACACCAACTGCATTTCCAGACACTTGATCATCATTTCTAGCAGAGACTGCTAAATGCTAATTAAAAGGCCCAAGTCAATGAGGCACTTTTGAGGTATTTTCCCAGTTCAGTCAAAGGAAGTAAATGAAAGGCATGAGACTTCTCAAGACGGTAACAATGCCAGAGTTCACCAAGTAGCTGAAAATTTAGGAAATACAAGTCCTAAGAAAACATATTTTATTTTCATTTTTAAATTTAGTTTTCCTTTTTTCTTTTTGAGACAGAGTCTTCCTGTTACCCAGGGTAGAGTACAGTGGTGCGATCTTAGCTTACTACAATCTCCGCCTCCCGGGTTGAAGTGATTCTCCTACCTCAGCCTCCCTAGTAGCTCATATTACAGGCTTGTGCTACCATGCCTGGCTAATTTTTTGTATTTTCAGTAGAAATAGGGTTTTGCCATGTTGGCCAGGCTGGTCTCAAACTCCTAACCTCAAGTGATCCACCCGTCTCATCCTCCTAAAGTGCTAGGATTATAGGCATGAGCTACCACGCCTGGCCTTTACTTCTTTGTGAAAGAGACACTGCTTATATGCCAGAAAGTACTTTAATACTGGAAGGAAAATGTTTTAAAATTTGTAATCTAGTGTACTATACATAATGTAAACAGTCTGTGTTCATTCAAGGAATCCAGATAGGGGAAAATTAGGGTTCTAGACTAGAACACAGTTTCATCCTACTCCACTCAAAGCCCTACCACACTGCCATCCCTAAAGTAGTCACTGACTCTCTGCCTGGTATAATAGTAAAAGGTCACCATTAAAAATCAATTTCTTCCCTAAACAAAAGGTAGTGATAACTTTTAATCAAACAAACCTAGGTAGACTTACGAGGCTAACAGCATAGCAGCAGTGCCCACAAGCTGAAGCTTTCCTCTCAGCACGGACATGGAAGAAAGGAACCTATCAATGTAGTTCACAGCCAAATGCAGGGTCTCATTCTGTAGTTTATATTCTTCTCCTACTTCAACTAACCAGTCCACGAGGATAGCTCTCATACTGTTAGTGATGTCTGGCTGTTTCTTCATGTAACCCACTTTAGGTTTACATTTAACCTATTGAGAAAATTATTTAGTAGTGTTAAAATTGCAATTAGATTATTTTACCATGAATTAAGAAAGGCTACATGCTATAAACGTAAGTGTATCATTAAAATAATTCATTAGCAGTTTAAAAACTTAAACATTATCCTCTTAATTTCATTTAGCCACATTTAACAAATATACAAACTGGATTCAGAGAACTTTTACCTCCATTTCCCTAAGGTATGTGTGAATATCCTCATGGTAGTCTGGTACTTCATTAACACTCACTGGCTTTTCATCTTCTAATACAATTGACATGTCCATAGTATGTGGTGACTCTGGGACAATTCAAAAGATATGATCAAATTTACTGTTTTTGTCTATTTAGTTTAATAGCTAAAAATGACTGCCCCTGTAAGGAATCTTATATTAGCAAAGCACTTATTTCATCAAACTAAAAAGAACTTCTCATGATGAAATATGTAGAATATTTTACCCTAGTCTTAGTAGCTCTGTACATATATCTTTGGAATGATATTAGTTATGAGGAAAAAAATACATTGGTAGGCCCCTAACAGAAAAATGAGAATCATATATTATCTTAAAGTATTCATCTTCCATTACAGAAAGGAGCAGATGGCATGGTGGTTGTTAGGATAGAGCATTTAATATCCAAGTTTTGAGATAGTATCTAAGATTTGCCCTAATGCAAATCCCAGAGTCTGACATATACAAAGTCCAATTAGGCAATAGCTAGAATCAGTTCAATGGTCTCCATTAACAAGTGTTATTAAGAAATTAGGTTTGTTGCCGGGCACGGGGACCCATACCTGGAATCCCAGCACTTTGGGAGGCTGAGGCGGGCAGATCACCTAATGTCAGGAGTTCGAGACCAGCCTGACCAATATGGTGAAACCCCGTCTTTAAAAAAAAAAAAAAGAAAGAAATTAGGTTTGTTATGGACAAACAGATTAACACTATAAATATTTTTTGTAGTGTAAATTACCTTTTGAAGCAAAGAGTATCATCCATTATTCCTTTCACATCAAAGATCACGTTGAAATTAAACTTTTTTTGCAAAATTTTAATAAAAACACAAAAAATATTTCCAAAGGACTTTTTCTGCTCACTCATCCTCCCCCACAATCAATACAACTAAAACTAAAATGAAATTTGATTTAGTGAGCTGTCCAGTGACTCAATATCCCTAGGGCAAAGAAACAGTACAAACTTCAAAGAGTTGTTTACAGCAGCTATTTTAATACATGAGTAAGGGCAAACAGCCATGGTACAACTGTTGACCTGCAGGAGGAAAAGTGTCACTTGCTGGTATCAGATGATAAACCAGACTGGTTTTATATTAAAAAAAAATTATAA